CTTATTTTGCAATTAGGGCAGCAGAGTTAACATAACGTGGGTGGCTTCTTAGCGGAAAATAAAACAAAAACCTGCCCAGGATTGTATGGCCGTTTGTCATGGATGCTTTAGTTTAGATTCCTGCATTGAAGTGGGTTGGACTAGATGACCGTTGGGGGTCCCCTGTGATTCTATGGATTGGGCCATTTTGGCAGGAATAAACTGTGGGAAACTGGGCTTCGTTGTGATAATCAGAGGCCCCTGGTGATCTTTGGTTCTGTGGGCATTGAATGCCTTGTTCCCTGCTGCATTCCGGACTTTGCTTTCTTACGGCATGTTCTCGTAGGCCCGTCTCCTGCTTTTCAAAACTGCCCTCTCAGTTTGGATTTCATAGCGTTGGAAGCAGGCAATCAGCTTCCTGCGAAGGCCCTGGCCTTGACACTTTTATTAACGGTCTGGCAGGTGCGGTGCAGAAGTGGCTGTTGCTGCCTCCTTGGGGAGACCAACTGCAGCGCTGGCCATAAACCCTTCCTTTGTCTCCGCGTCCCCAGGCGGCATTGAACCAAATCCTCGTGTCCTTCAGAACCCCCAGCGATTGCATCCTGCAGCAGAGCCACTTGCGCCTCGAAGACAAGAGAGAGGCGTCACTTTTCACCAAACAAACGGCCAGTGTCTGGCTTGACGTTTTTTGCAATTCCCTTTAGGCGCTTTCGAAGGCACTTCTCTTTTTCTTAAGAAAGAAAGAAAGAAAGAAAGAAAGAAAGAAAGGCTTCGAGAAATAAGGCGTGTGTGGTGCATCGTGATTTTCATAAAAGCATTGCTTTACTCACTTAAAAATCCAAGAGGCTTTATTTCCTACCCAGGCCTTCTCAGCCTGGTGCATTGGACTACAACTCCCATCAGTCCCGACTAGCAGCTGGGGCTCATGGAAGTTGTAGTCCAAAAATCTGGAAGGTGACAGGTTAGCAAAGAATGTCCTCCCTCTAAGTCTCTCTCTCTCTCTCTCTCTCTCTCTCTCTCTCCTTAAAAAATATTTTTTATTGGTTTTTGCACATGTTTTCCAAACACAACATCCCATCTTATACAATACAACAAACCTTTGGCTATCACAGCCTAGGACTTCCGTCAACCTCGACTAATGGTTTTCTAACCTCCTTTCTGATTTTGCATTTTATTTTAATAGTCTATAAAATCCAAATCCTAAATAAACTCCTTCTTAGTCCTTTTTCGCAATAATTCATAGTCCTCCCTGTAAGTCTCATTTGTAGAAGGTGCATTAAAAAAAATAAAATTGTAGCAGATGAAAAAGCAACAGCAGCAACCCTGTGATTTTTGCATGAGTGTCAGCTGTGACTTATTCTAAGCAAGAGCTTGCCAGCTCAGGAGTGTGTGATTTAATCCTTGCTACATTTTACTTTAAGATACAGTGAAACGCTTGCCCGCAGTTTCAAGCGGGGAAATGTTTTTCAGGTTGCAACGCTTCCATGCTGCGCTGGGCTCTCTTTGTCAGAGGAATTTAAGCAGGGACTCAGCTGCCATCTGCCAAGGATGCTGTCGTCACAACCTGAGTTGCAGATCCTATGTTGAGCAGGAGGCTAGACCAGAGGGGCTCCAATGCCCCTTTCAGGCCTCTGTGGATAGTATGGCAGGGTTGGTCACTGGCTCATGGGGATGTGGGTGGCGTTGTGGTCTAAACCACTTTTCCTCTTGGGCTTGCCGATCAGAAGGTTGGCGGTTCGAATCCCCGCAACAGGGTGAGCTCGCGTTGCTCTGTCCCAGCTCCTGCCAACCTAATAATAATAATAATAATAATAATAATAATATATCTTTCTTTATACCCTGCCCTCCCCGGCCAGAGCCAGGCTCAGGGTGGCTAACACCAGTGAAATTACAATAAAAACATAATAGGGGAGGAAAAAAACCCACAATTTAAAATACAGGTTAAAATGCAATTTAAAATGCAGCCTCATTTTAATAATAGCCCATAGATCAAAACCATAAGGGGAGGGAAACATAAGGGTCTGACTGAGTCCAAACCAAAGGCCAGGCAGAACAGCTCTGTCTTGCAGGGCCTGCGGAAAGATGTCAAGTCCCGCAGGGCCCTATTCTCTTGTGACAGAGTTTTCCACCAAGTCGGGGCCAGTACTGAAAAGGCCCTGGCCCTAGTTGAGACCAACCTTGCAACTTGGGACCTCCAAAATGTTGTCATTTGTGGACCTTAAGGTCCTCCGCAGGGCATACCAGGAGAGGCGGTCCCATAGGTACGTGGGTCCTAGCAGTTTGAAAGCACGCCAGTGCAAGTAGATAAATAGGTACTGCTGTGGCGGGAAGGTAAATGGTGTTTCCGTGTGCTTTGGTTTCTGTCACGGTGTTCTGTTACACCAGAAGCGGTTTAGTCCTGCTGGCCACATGACTCGGAAAGCTATCTGTGGACAAGCGCTGGCTCCCTTAGCCTGAAAGCAAGATGAGCGCCGCAACCCCATAGTCACCTTTGACTGGAGTTAACCGTCCAGGGGTCCTTTACCTTTTACCTTACTGGCTCATGCCAAATCCTGGACCCCAAACTTCGACCCCCAAAGTTTGACCCAGAATTTGACCAGAACAGGTTGAGACAGTCCTGGATTGGGTCCACCCAGAGCAATATGGGGCTGTCAAATGGGGTCACGTGGTTTCAGCCGAAGCGTCATTGTTCTCATTGACAGAACTTGGCTCATGCTTCAGCACGGCCATTTATAGCCCCACCTCCTTCTCTGGCTCCCTCCCACTCCCTCCCTTCAGAATTTCAGTGGATGATGGGAAGTGTAGTCTTTTGCCAAGGAAACCGCACCTGTCTCCCAGGAGACCTCTGCCCAAACAAAAGATGCCCTTTGCACAAGAATGGGGAAGAGTCGTCTAGTTTGCTCTCGTGGGTCAAGGCAGAATTCCAATACTTGTGCAACCTCTGTGATTAATTAGGGGTTCAACCCTAATCAAAGACTTCTAGGACTCTCAATCGATCAGGATCAATTGGTCCCTATTTGTCCCACCTTGGATGGGGCACTCCAGAGCGCTGGATTGTACCCTGAATCGGATTGAGAGGGACGTGCCGAGACCTCGTATTGCATATGCTCCAACTGTCCTATTTACCAGGTCAGCTTCTCTTTTCTGGTCCCTCCTAAGTGAGGGTCAAACTAGATGGGATGTTAATAGCACAAATACTGTACTTATTTTAATCCTCTGCCTCTATTTTGGCCGGCACAATCTGTCACTGGCTCTGCCCCTATGATACCCTGTTAATTTTCTTCTGTGTGAATTTCAAAAATTCTTGTGATGTATTCCCTTGGATCTGAGTTCAGGTCCTGCCCCAAAGCCCTAATATCTCCAGAAGCTAAAATTCTAGCATTTGGGTCAGAGGCATCCTTTCTAGCATGTTCTATGTATTCATACCAATGTGCCGTGCATAGTTCATTTCAGTGTACCATTTCATGCCCTGCAGCTGCTGAGATACATTTTAGAACGGATGATAACTTATTTTAGGAACATCTGTGGTTTCCTAGGCTCCTTTCAACAGAAACAAGCACTCTTCCAGGCTTGAAGTTGGTGGAAGATAAGCTGTTAAAGGATAAACTCATTTCTGCTGTGCTTCTTTCTCACTTACAAAGCACCCAACTTTTTCAAAGGGCTAGGAAGCTATTAAAAGTTCAGACTTTGCATGGACACGTATAATGAAATCTGGAGCTCATTTATACAAAATACAGTAGGTTGAAACAATTTTAATGGTAACCGTTAACAACTGTTATAGTGATATACTATATATATTTGTCTATTTTCTTTTCCTTACTTTTATCTTCCTCATTTAAAAATAGCACCTTATATGTAGGAAAAAATAATAATACTGTATAAAACTGTCCCTGCTTGCAAGCTCAGAACCCACTTGAAACCACACAAAAGGAAAAAGGAATAGGGAGGGAAGAGGAAACAATAACATTAAAGCATATGTATCCATGTTTGTTAACTGATGTGGTTAAACTTTTTTTTAAAAAAAACCTTAGACTGAGTTTTAGCACGCATGAAAAACTTAAAACAGACCCATATTTCCTGATGAATAACCGTTGGACTATAATGTAACTTAGATAGAAAACTATCTTTAGAAAGATTTTTTCTCCAAAAACATTTTATTTTAAAAATCCAATTTAAATAAAAAAAATCAATTTTTTAAATTTTTTTTTGAAAATCTTTGATTTTTATCCACCCTGGTTCGGTGACCTGTGCAGGGGAACCTAAACCCTAAATCCGGCACTGGCCTGAGGTTGGACTTTTGCCTTGTATCCCGTTGGCTGAAGGTTCAGATGCTCCTGCTGTGAGTTTGCTCCCTTCCAGCCTTTCTCAACCTGTGGGTCCCCAGATATTGTTGAACTACAACTCCCATCACCCCTAGCTAGCAAGGCCAGAGCTCAGGGATGATGGTAGTTGTAGTCCAACAACATCTGGGGACCCACAGGTTGAGAACCGTTGCGAGTCCAGACACTCAGGATAGTTGGAGAAACTGTGCTGCTTGTGGAAAACGGGCTACTTTGTTGTAAAGGTAAAGGGACCCCTGACCATTAGGTCCAGTCGTGGCCGACTCTGGGGTTGTGGCGCTTATCTTGCTTTATTGGCCGAGGGAGCCGATGTACAGCTTCCGGGTCATGTGGCCAGCATGACTAAGCCATTTCTGGCGAACCAGAGCAACGCATGGAAACACCATTTACCTTCCCGCCAGAATGGTACCTATTTATCTACTTGCACTGGTATGCTTTCAAACTGCTAGGTTGGCAGGAGCAGGGACCGAGCAATGGGAGCTCACCCCATCGCGGGGATTAGAACCGCCAACCTTCTGATTGGCAAGTCCTAGGCTCTGTGGTTTAGACCACAGCGCCACCCGCGTCCCTTTACTTTGTTGTAGGGACTGTTAAAAGTGCTCCCCCCCCTCTCCAGCACTTCCTAATTTAACAAGTTGGTTTTTATGTCTGCCTAACACAATTTTCTTTCTGGTCTTTCAGGTGTATGCGTCTACGGAGGCTCATCATTTCAGGTAGGTCAGATTTAATGTTATTTGTGACTAGCTGTGCTTGAATTAGATTTCATTTTATGGCATGGAAGGGGCTTTGTCCTTGAAGCAAATTCTAGCCTGGAAGAATAAAAGCACAGTGCTCAGACGATGGTGGGACCGGAGAGGTCCTAGCCCCCATACCTGTTGCGATGGCATCCTCTGCTACTGTTTTTGAGGTGGCTACTATAGGGCACAAGTTGGCTAGAAGTGGCTGGAGGGGGAGAGGACTTGGGGAGGGAGAATTTGCAGATTTTGCAAAAGGCCTGTCTGCTTCTTTCCCCAATGCTATCCCTTCATTGCAACAGTTACAGGTATTGCAATGTTACCTTTTTACAAAGTTGCAAAATCATTAAAAACACACACGAGGCATGGCTTTGACTGCAATCCTCAACACACTTACTTCTTCCCCAGGAAAACTTATGGATAAACATTCATAGAATTGCACTGTTTATTGATCTGAAAGGTAACTCTTATATTTGTTACATGGTCCTTTTATACTTTGGTTGTAAGTAAACTTAAAAAAAAATGTTACAGAACTGTGTCTAACTATTCTATGCATTTGTGTGTGTCATAAAAAACCCCTGCAACTCTATATGCACATACCTGGGAGTAAGTCCCATTAAATTGAACGGGGCTTAATTTTGGGTAGACACAGAATCATGCATAGGATTCCACTATAGGGCTGTGTATTTTGTAAGCCCTGAGGTACAGAACATGTTTGAGATTTCCGAAACTTTATTAAATTTCCCTTTTTCAGCCAGCTGTGTTTTTGTCCATGGTTGAAGGAATGAGTACAGGAGACGATTTTCAGCTAATACTCTTAAAGCCTTGATTTTATGATATAAATTGTTGCTGAGTGGTTTTGCTTTTTTCAAGAGTAATGATCTTTGTCAGCTTAGCCATGCTGTAAGAGAAAGTATTAGCTGTGTCAGGAAATGTGTATGTAAACTTTTCCCCTATGTAGAGTGTGGCATGTGGGATTAGCAAGTGTCTGAGAGATGGGTACGGTCTGATTTTTAATCTCTGACTTAGAAGGGTGAACTGCCCTTAATATTGCTGGACCAATTTTGGGCTCAACTGTGGGTCTTTTTTAACATTTCATTGCATGGCGTGCTTAACAAAAAATGCTCCCGTCAGTCTTCAATGGGAGGAAAGTGGTGTGAGATTCTAAGGTTGTTTCAAATTGATCTGTTTGAGGACTATTTATCCTGATTTGTTTGTGGAGAGGTTAGACAATGTTGCATCAACCCAAGTGTTTTCCCAAACTTTGCATTGTATTTCCCCGTTGCTTACATCTTTGGCAGAACGCTGATCTGTTTGGGAGGAAGTTTTGTTGTACAATAGCTCCGCACCTACTTTAACGACGCATTGTGAATTCCACCAGTATGTGATTATGACCTGGTAATATATGGTGGGTGTTAAGGCTGGGCGATATATCATCTGAAACTGGTTTCCAGCCCATATCAAGATATTGGTTTCATAATTTTTGACCTGGCGTATATTGCGAATCATGATGTGTGTGTATGCTATGCAAAAATCACAATGTGGGGGAAAACTGTGAAGCCAGGCAACGCCTCTACATAAAGGTAAAGGTAAAGGGACCCCTGAGCATTAGGTCCAGTCATGGCTGACTCTGGGGTTGCGGCGCTCCTCTTGCTTTATTGGCCAAGGGAGCCGGCGTACAGCTTCCAGGTCATGTGGCCAGCATGACTAAGCCACTTCTGGCGAACTAGAGCAGCACACAGAAACACCGTTTACCTTCCTGCCGGAGCGGGAGTATCTACTTGCACTTTGATGTGTTTTTGAACTGCTAGGTTGGCAGGAGCAGGAACCGAGCAACGGGAGCTCACCTCGTCGCGAGGATTCGAACCGCCAACCTTCTGATCGGCAAGCCCTAGGCTCTGTGATTTAACTCACAATGCCACCTGCATCCCGCCTCTACATAGTTCCAACCTTATTTCAGAAATTGTGATACATCAGCATACCACAATGTTTAGCTGGTAATATATCAAGAAGTTGAAAACCAGATATTGCCCAGCCCTCCTGGAGATGTAGTTCCAATTATTTCCGGCATCCATGGACTCGGTGGTTTCTATGCAACTCCTTCTTTTATCCCCTACCTTGTGAGGTGTGAAGTGGCCCCCACTGTTCTGGGTCTGACCTTGCTAACTGAGATGTAGCTCTCAGTTTAGTACCCTTGTGCAAGCGTGGTTTGCCGTATCCTGGCAGTTGCTCCCTGCGTCTAACCCTCTTAGAGTTAAAATTGCTCTTCCCTCCCAACTTTGACATTGTCCCTTTAAAGCCGTCCTGTTGCAAAGAGAGAGAGAGGGGATGAGATGAAATTGATTTACGGCCCGTTGTCTTTGGCGGACGGCTCGACGAAAAGCCCGAGCAGATTGCATGCATTTGTTTCCATTAAAAATATACTGTGGAGCATCACAATGTTTTAAAGGCTATTGAGAAATCTGCCTACACTCCATCAACTCTAATAAATTGTGCGGCAGATAATTCTCCCCTCCACATTTTGGCTCGATAAGTACTGTAATATACTGGTGCTCAGAACACGTGGAAATGAGACATCAGGATGTCACCACTGCCTGTTGACGTGCGGCTGATATTTGCAGGACTTTTTTTCACCAGGCTTGTAGGTTTTCGTAGGTAGCAAAGACAGTGAGGATGCCAGACACGTACAGAGCTCCCTTTCATCATGTGGCACAGCCTCAGTGACTGATTCTTAGCCCTCTGCTTATGATAGACTGCTGGTTCCTCTCCATGTATCTCCGCAGATGTCATGGGATGTACTGAGGAAGGAAAGTTCTCATGGCTGTGGGTGGGGGGACTGAACATCTGCCTAGTGCTGAACCAGATAATTGGAGGAAGAGCTGTAGCTTGGCTAGTTGCGTCTTAATCTGTGTTTTGAATTTTTGTTCCTTCCGCCAATTTGCCCCCCTTCCAAATTATTACAAATCAAACCAAATTAAGTTATTTTAATACAATTTCTAAAAGATCAGGTTTCCCTCCCCCGTTGCGTAATATGTTCACATCGCTGCATCAATTCTTATTAGTCTCTAGTTGTCATCACTTCATTTGCCATTAAACATTTCTTACAGCTGCCCCCTTGTGTGTTTTAATTTTTGTGAGGCTCCTTGAGTCCTGGTTCTAGGGGAAAAGTGTAATAATAATAATAATAATAATAATAATAATAATAATAATAATAATTCTCACAACCACCCTGTGAGGTAGGTTAGGCTGAGAGGCAATGACTGGCTCAAGGTTACCCAGTGAGCTTCATGGCTGAGTGGGGATTTGAACCCTGGACTCCAAGATCCTAGTCCATGGGTAGGCAAACTAAAGCCCGGGGGGCTGGATCCGGCCCAGTCGCCTTCTGAATCTGGCCCGTGGACAGTCCAGGAACCAGCGTGTTTTTACATGAGTAGAATGTGTCCTTTTATTTAAAATGCATCTCTGGGTTATTTGTGGGGCATAGGAATTCGTTCATTTCCCCCCTCCAAAATATAGTCCGCCCCCCGCAAGGTCTGAGGGACAGTGGACCGGCCCCCTGCTGAAAAAGTTTGCTGACCCCTGTCCTAGTCCAATACTTTTAGTTTAGCAACGGCACCACTTCTCCAAGTCCAAATAATTAAAAAATCCCTTTACGATGGGAAGAACATCCACAGTCAAGACCAAAATTAAAAAGAGTTCACCACTGCTGTTCTTGCATAGGTATTTCCTTGCATGTTGCTGCTTGCTGGCTGTAACCAGGTCAGAGTTTGTGTTTGACAAGAAATGTTTTGCTTGGAAACAATCAGCTGAGTCTAAAAAGGGAGGTGGGCAATGTGGGGTTGTTAACCCCAGTTGACCAGTGTGATCTGGCCCCTCAGGTACTCACAAAGGTCTTGGTGGCAGTGGCAAAATGTGCTGGTCCCGGGGGGAAGGTTACCGTTGACGTAGTCAAAGTCCGGTCCTGGGTCACTAGCCTGGAAACAGTTCGCAAGGAGCGGGGCGAGGTCCGAAGCAGGAAGCCGAGCGGGGACAGGAACACTGGAGGGTCAGGTCTGGGTCCGGACAGGAGCAGGTGCTCAACAATGACGTTGCTCCCGCAACCTGGGACCGGGCTGACTGGCCTTTATCTTCTCTGAGGCCAGGGGCGGCCCCGGCCCCCAGGAGCCCCGCCTCTCCTGGCCTTAAGGCGAGCACTCCTCCTGGGAGAAACCAGTTCCCTTCACCTCTCTGCCCTGAGCCTCTGCAGTTCAGGAGAGGCCAAAGGGTTACTGGGCCCCGGGGGAGACTCACCTGTAGACACTGAGTCCTCAACCACCTCTGGAGCCAGAATGGATTCACCTGGTGCCTGCTCCTGAGGATCTGGCACAGGTGCAGGCGCCTCAGAATCAAGGCCCTGCCCCAGTTCAGCCGGCCCTGGAGGCGGGGACTCCTATGCAGGCTGGGATTCCTCCGGTTCATCCTCTGAATCGGATTCCCAGGCCATCACACAAAAGAAGTCTATGCAGTGCTGGAGTGAGAGAAGCTCAGTGCCTGATGGAGGTACACACCACCCCCGGGACCCACAGCAGTACAATTCCCATAGCAGTGGAAATGGCTGGTGTTTGCTGATTTGTCCCAATCCAATCCAGCAAATGTGAACGCTATCAGTTGTTGTTGTTTTCAGGCCACAAACGGCACATAATTGATTTTGGGATTCCCCGGGTTTGCACTGTTTCCCTCGCGTTGAAATAAATGGTGTGGCATAATGTAAGGACGACGTCATCAATTACACAGGTTGCGAAAAATGTCGCCATAGTGGACAGCGGCGAAAGAAGACGAATGACACAATTTTGGGTAGAAGCTGAACCGCAGCAGAATGGAAACGGTTCTGCGTGATGTGATGAATATGGGGCAAGAGAGAAATTGGTACCTTCTCACATCCCTGCCCCCCAGATCAAGCAACTGTCTTCGTTTGTGCAAGCGGGTCCATGAGAGTGGAG